TAATACATTTACAGACATTTCTAAAATTCTGTTTTCACTTTGTCATTATGGGGTACTGAGTATAGCTTAATGAGAAAGAAAATGAATTGGAATGATTGTAGTATCAGGCTGCAACATAACAAAATTGAAAAAACTGAAGGGGGTCTGAATACTTTCCAAATGGACTGTATCTGTTCAATGCCACTGCAATTCTCTACCAGCTCAGAAAAATACTTCCTTCCTTGGGGATGAGTGTTGTTCGATGGTTAAATCCACCACTTTCTAATTCTTGGAATCTATCTTCTTTTTCATCTCAGATACACAAGCTGGAAGCCATTTGTATGTCTCACATATAGACAAAATTATCTCTTGGGCAAAGAGGGCTGAATGGCTTGCTGAGGTCACCCCTGCAGCTACAGGAACAGTCCTATGAATGAAAAGGTGTTTGGAGTTTCACAAGATTCAATGGACCCATTTGGAGTTGCTTTGCAGGACAGAGAAAGAATGGAGACACAACCTTTAGCAAGTGAGGGGACTGGAGAAGGCCCTTCTGCTGTTCAGCCTGGCAGGTGTGGGGAGACCTGGGCAAGAAGTGGGCAGAAGATCCTGGAGGAGGAAACCATCTGTTCAGAAGTTCAGCCACAGAACTTCAGGAGCATTCAATACCAAGAGGCTGAGGGTCCCCGAGGACTTTGCAGCCGTCTCCACTACTTTTGTAGTCGATGGCTGAGACCAGAAAAGAACACAAAAGCGCAAATGCTGGACTTGGTTGTTCTGGAGCAGTTCCTGGCCCTTCTGCCCTTGCAGATGGAGAGCTGGGTCCGGGAGTGTGGAGCAGAGACCACCTCCCAGGCGGTGGCCTTGGTGGAAGGCTTCCTCCTGAGCGAGGCGGAGGAGCAGAAGGAGCAAGTCGAGTTGAAGGTGAGAGTCCTTCATCTTGAGAGCTCAGAAGGGGTTTGAATGGAACAAACAATGTGCTTGAATTCTTAACCCCGCCCTACCAGAGTTCTCTGGCATTCATAATACATGGAGACGTTTCACTAATCCTTGTAGGACATTGTTCCGTTATCCATTCTAGAAGATAAATTAGCGGCACCTGTTCCTTTCTCACTTTCCAGCCTCACTGAAGGGGGCTTTGAAGTTGTGTTCAGAGAACAAGAATCCATGTTGTGTGATATCTGTTAATTCTTCCTCTTTTCTCCTGCCTACTATTTCAAGTCCTTCACTGTGGAGATCAGAGATCCTGAGGGAAGGAGAAATCCCTCAAATCCCCCTCAAGAGCTGGTCTTCAGGAGAATCTCTCAGGAAGATCCAAGTCAGGACAGCTCAGGAGGTAACTGAAGGTCCTCCCTTTCCCCAGAGAGATCCCAGCTGTCTCATCTTCTCTATGTCTTCTCTTCTGCAGAATACCTCCTCCTATTTTATTAACTATGCACTTTAAAATCCTGTCTCCCTCACAGGGAAGAGTAGAACGAAGTTGACTCCTTCTTATGGTGGAGCTGAAACAGGGGTTGAACCTCCAACTCAAGTAAGAGGAGGAAATTTGTTTATTAGATTTGTATTCTCCCTTCCCTTCACTCTCTCCTTTCATTTTTCCCTCTTGTTTGGGCTGGGTTATTTTCATGTCCCTGAGCAACATAGGAGATTCAGGTGTGATTTTTATTAGGAATTTTTTTTAAGACCAGTAGTTAACTCTCCTTGTGTTAGTTACTCCCCTAGTTTACAGTAATGAAATTTATAAAAAATTTTTCAAGGGATAGGAATAACACTATCATAGATGTAGCAACTGCCCAAAAGAGACCCATTTTGTTCCTAATTCTTTGACATGAAATTGGGCAAGGTTGTTCAAAAATATGTAAATACTCATATGGCACATTACCATTTTTAAAAAGCTTTCCTTACAACCAGTGATAAGAGAAAAAAAGCATCAGATTAAAAAATAAGACAGGCTAATAAAATACAATGAAGGTGGCCAGACAGAAAAGTCTCTAAGTAAAAATTGCTCTGAAAGAGCACGTAATTAAGGCACTTTTGGCTTGCAAAGTAATTTCTAATCCTCTGATTTGTGCCTGGATTTGGAGGGCAAACAATCCAGCTATGCAGAGGCTGAGAAATGTCTTTCCCAGCAAATTTTGTCTGCTTTCTTATCTCCTGTTCAGCCAATGCTTTGGACCAATAGCAGCTTCCCTGCAATCTGTGGAGGTGTAGAAATTGGGTTGTGTGTCTCTAGATATTGATGGCCCCCCACAAAAGTCCATGGCTGCACTTTCCCTGCACTTTCATGAAGGTGTTGTGCATGGACAGGATTGGTCCTTCTGGGGCACCATAGGCCATTTGCTGAAATGCTAGAAAGAATCCCCCCCCCATCCAAATTTTGTTCTGCAAACACAGGAAGGATTGGAGTCACTGATTGGTGGGGTTTCCAAGGCCCATCTGCTGGCTGATTCCCTCCAGACGCTGAGAGTCTTTTGGTGATGGATGGATGGATACAGAGATATAGATAGATTGACAGATGATAGATAGATCAATAAATACATAGATTGATTTAGATTTATTAATGAACATTGGTTTATTGTATTTTAATCAGTATTTTAACCAGTATTTATTTTTGTTTTTACTGAAAACTGCCCAGAGTCACTCACTGAGTGAGATGGGCAGTGACTAAATTTGAAATATAAAATAAAAATAAAAATAGATAGATATACATGGATAATAGATAGATCAATCGATCCAGAAGGAAGCTGGGGTTACTTTCACTGAATGGCACTGAAAGCCCTGCAGAATCAAGTTGATCAAACCTGCCTGAAATATTTCTTCAGTCAAAGGCTTTTGGCTCTGTCCATTTTCTCACCTAAATCTTGGAATCCTACCAAGCAGAGCCATCTGACTTGGTGCACATCTTTGCTTTGGGAATTTTGCAAATCCACTTGGGCTTCTTCTGTTCTTTTTTTCCTTGTTCAGGAGGGTCTTGTGTCCTTCGAGGAGGTGGCTGTGTATTTCTCCGAAGAGGAGTGGTCCCAACTGGATCCTCCCCAAAAGGTGCTGCATTGGGAAGTCATGCTGGAAAATAGTAGGACCGTGGCCTCCCTGGGTAAGGGTTTGCTACTCTCCTGTCAGAGAGTTCAAGAAGACATTTTGTAGTCAGATGCCATTAGCTATTTATTTTTTTTATTATGATAATTTTATTAAAGAAATTTTATCAGAGTAAGAACAATAAAAGATTTGAAGAGGAAATAAAGAAGATAATATAAAGTAATACGTGAATCTGAAAAAAATATAAAGAAGTAAAGAGTAAAGGAGAAAAGAAAAAAGTAATAAAGAAGCATCTTCCGATCTTCTTAAGAGCAGTTCTAAAGGTAATTATATTTTAACTTCTCTCTCCTCGGTTACATTATAGTTTCCGTCTTTCCATAATTTATCCTTTCTAAATCTTCAAACCTGTAAGTCAGAAGTTCCTAGGGTGTTCCAGTTAATAATAAATGTAGATAATTTTTACATTTCCAGTCACTAATAAATGTAGATAATTTCTACATAATTTCCTTTCTCTAATCAAACAAGTCCATTCAGCCATCTTCATCTTCATCAGTCATCTTCATCAACCATTCCTCCCTTGTAGGCATTTCAGAGTCCTTCCATCTTTGTTCGTATAACAGTCTTGCTGCAGTTATCATAGACAGAAACAGTCTTCCATGACTCTTCAATCTGTCTGTCCATGAGTCCCAACAGAAAGTATTCTGGTTTCAGTTGGATGTTGATCTTTAAAATTCTCTGTATCACTGTATGTATTTGAATCCAAAATCTAGCTTTTTTACAAGTTCACCAAGCATGATAAAATGACCCT